TGCGAAGCAAAGCAAGAGAGACATGCCTCCAGCAATTGCATCTCTTTGTGTCTGAAGAATTATTCCCAAGTTCACCAGTGATGCTGGAGCCTTAATAGATGCACCAATCTGCGCTAACCGGATACAGAGTGTTAATGCCTGAGGCATAAACAAGGCCGCGAAACGTGACCGAATCGGGGAAGGCCATAAGCGGGCAGCAAAGGATCAACTTACCCCAGAATCCAGTGATAGCTACATGTCGTGCTCTGCTTTGTTCTGCGAACCTCTTGTTCGGTGAAGGCATCCTCACGTGTGCGCGATTACATTCAGCACGATAACGTGTGCGAAGCCAAGCTATGCACCCTTAGTCTGCGGGGTTGCTTTGCATTCATTGAAATTGTTGCGCCTTGCCTGTGAAAGGACCCCGATCTCCACCACGCGGTCACAGGGGAGTCGGTACACACGCCTCTCTGTTCCCTGCGATATCCACTCACTTATCCAATTGGCGAGAAGCCAAGTCGTCTTACCGAACAATGGCTTCGATCGAAGATGACGACGATCGCGACCTTGCAGGTAAGCTTTGTGACTTCCTCCGGTTCATCTGGGCAACACTGATAAGTTCTCCGCAAACCCAGGCTCTCAAGACGGAAGTTCGGACAATGAAATGGAGGATACACTTCGGGATGCAGATGATGGAGGCAATGACAACGAACCTGATCCCGACGCGGACGCCGACCAAGATGCGGAAAGTCAGTCCAATGCTAGTCATGCATCCGAAAGCGCTGGGGTAGCGACGCAACCAAACGCGGATGTCGAAATGTCCAATACAACAGCTACGAATTCGGTTTCTGATCCACGATCTGTTTTCCATCCGAGCGTGAGGGAAAAGTGCCTGACAGCGCCTACGTTCGACATAGTCCCAACTACGGCCGCCCCTCACAGTACATCGATCAATGCGGTAACTGCGACCGCTGATATGAGATGGGTATTCAGCGGCGGCTCAGATGGATACGTTCGGAAGTTCAATTGGGTGGATTCTGTCAACAGCAAGCTGATGCTCACTGTGGCGCAAAGGCATCCTTTCGTCGACAGTGTCATCAAGGCGGGTGTACTAATGACGTACTGGGAAAACATGGACGGGAACACAATATCGCCAGTATACTCGCTGGCCAGCCATAGTGAAGGTCTATGGTTGTTGTCTGGCTTGGAGTCCGGTAGCATCCGACTGCAATCAGTCCGTCATGATGAAGGAAAAGAGATCGCTCTTCTGCAGCAGCATACTTCCGCAGTCTCTGTACTGAGCTTGACTTCAGATGAAAAGTCTCTACTATCTGGCAGCTGGGACAAGCGAGTATTTGATTGGGACCTTAACACAGGGCAGACCCGACGCGCATTCGGGTCTAGCGCCGGGCAGATTTCCGCTGTCGAGATACGGCCAGAATCCAGTCTGCCGGTTCCCAGAGACACAACCGAGATTCAACAAACAAATGGCACATACTCGTCCAATTATCAGGCTCCTGAGAATGGTAGCTTCAACTTCATGGATACTTCGAACGACGGTGAAAACGGCACTGGCTCAAACCCGCAGGCGGGCTCTCCGGCTGATTCACTCTTTGGCGGTGCCGACTCGCTATTCGGCGACGAGAACGGGAATGGAGGAGACGAGGCCGGCGCATCTGGAAATGCATTCGGCATTGACGAGGATGATGAGTTTGGTAAAGCCCTAACCAATGGAGTGCTGCCAGATGCCGACGCCCCTGGAGAACCCGAACCGAGTCAGAACGGCGTTGCAGAGGCTCCTGCTGCTCCGGCTCCGGATTCGGCCCCGGCCCCGGCAGGTGCTGATGCTGCAACTGCCAATAGCAATGCCGTCACTCAACCCCCTAGTTCTGGCCAGGCGGAGATGCCTAATGGCTCCTCTCAGCCGATAGTCAATGGACTACCGCATGCCGAAGAGCTGGAACCACCAAGCTACACTCAAGAGAGTGCTCTTCCTGCGCCAGCAGAAACAGGTGCTAATACGGATAATCTTTTCCTGGCTGCGTCCATTGATGGCACTATCCGAGTGTGGGATAGAAGAGAACCGGATGCCGTTGCTCGCATCACTTCTCAAAACTGCCCTCCTTGGTGCATGAATGCATGCTGGTCCCCAGACGGCAACTATATTTATGCAGGCCGTCGTAATGGAACTGTTGAGGAGTACAGCCTTCATAAGGGTCTTCGGAATGCTGAACGGACCTTCAAATTCCCTCAGGGTAGTGGACCGGTCACGGCACTCAAGGCCATGCCTAACGGCAGACATATCGTTTGGTACGTATATTCGTCGTCACTTAGGCTCTACTTTCATTGACATGACTGGCTGACCGTCACTTCATAGCGCATCGCATGACATTCTTCGATTGTACGACCTCAAACATGAACAAGTGACTCGCCACTCCACAGTGCCCTTCTTGATCATCCCAGGACATCGTACCGGAACTGTATCGCAGCTATACATTGACCAGGCGTGTCGCTTCATGGTCTCAACAAGTGGTAACAGAGGCTGGGAAGGCAATACGACGGAGGTCTTGCTAGGCTATGAGATTGGGGTGCCTGGTTAAAGGTCTACCAGCTCCTTGCGGAAGAGTAAGTTTGCCATATCATCTGTGACCTTGAAAGTATGTGGGCACTAATGGTTGTGTTCGGCGTCAGTTGCACCCTTTGGGTATGCAGTAGAATCGGAGTTCTTCCTGGACCCAAACGTGAGATGATAGCGATGACTCAGACATCGCCTCTGCCACGGAAAATGCATGAATGACTAATGTGAATGACATGAATGCAGTCGCTGATACTAGACAACCTGACTTCGATATACGATAGTATTTTGGCATAATACATGATTCATATACACATGACTGCATAAAGTATCGCCGCGTGCCTCAGAGGGCACACATAAATATGGACACGAAAACCACCAATGGTCCCGATATATATACCTCAACTCCCATGGGAACCTGGAATGCCAGTGACTCGCTTTCTTTTGAGCCATCAATACATTTACTTGAAAAGAAGCCAACAAACGCCATGAGTACCAGCCAATATGCAAAAGCAAACAAAAAAGAAAAATTCACAAATCATATCCATCGTGGACTGCATCATCAAGGTCGAGGCCTTCGCAGACCTCATGTTGCCCAACCCGCCAAGATCCGAATAGTGGATTATGGGCCCATTTAACATGACCATCGTCGTCCTGCTCAAAGTACACATAGCCTGGTTGCTTATCAGGATTGAACTCATTTTCGTTGGGCGACAATACGCCATCAGGCCCCGTGACCAGATTACTAAATCCCGGAATATCTGTGTTTGGAACATGGCCACGAGCTTCAATGTGGCCGTTTTCCACGCTGTTCACCGTAATCAGGTATACGGGAGGCAGAGCCGAGTCTCTCTCTGCTCTCAAGGGCATAGGCAGCCAGGCTTCATTGTTGAACGACTCGATTCTGTTCTTGTCATGTCGCAATGGCAGCGGTCGGGAGAGAAGCATAGCATCCAACTTGGCAGTGTCGAGCAACAAACCAGGCGTTTGCACATAGAGGACACTGTCATATTGCATAAACTGGATCTGTCCCAGCCGCAGCAGCTTTGTATCGGTCGGTTTGTAGCCTTCAGAAGTGGCTAGTGTCATATCAATGGGCAGAAGCCAGATGCCGTACTCCAGACTTGCCGTTCTCAGCAAAGAAAGGGCAGTGGCGACCGGTTCGGTGAGCTCCTTAGTGGGCATCAGGTCCCACTCACGCGGATACATGAACAGCCTATCCTGAACTGCAGTACCATTGGTCGCTAAGTGTTTAAAGAAGAGAATGGCGGAGCAGATGTCCGACGGATCGGGAGTGGAGAGAAGCTGGAGGTATGCAAAGTTGCCCGTTGTTGCTTGTGTGGAACCAGCATCATTCCTCTTGTGCTGTTTATCGGCGACACTATCGGAGAAAACCTCTTGCCCGGCCCCTTGGTATGCTCCCACCTGGACCGCCGCCGGGGGTGGTGGCGGAGGAGGCGGTCGGATGGCATGCTGAATGCTTCGGACAGACTGCTGTTGCAGGGCATACCCCGAAAGGAAGAGCAGAAAAGTAAAGGTACAAATGACAGCTGTGGATATAATGACCGAGACCGTCGACGAAGTAAGAAGCACCATGACTGTCTGCGCGCCCCCCAAATTAACCGCTTAGTGCGTGTCTGTGTATACCCGTCGTACGTAGCCTGTGGAGACTGGATTGTAGGCAGCACTGTTTTGATATGCACTAGTAACTGCTTTAGAGAGCCGGGCCTATACAGCAAGTATACGAGGAGTAATTTTCAATTCGAACCGGATGAGAATTCCAGCGATCATGATATTTGATAGAAGCTTGAGTTTCTAGTCTGACACAGGCAGATGATCATCACAAACATTCACCCTGGCGGTGCCAAGGCCACACCATGTCTCAGCCTGTTGATTGTGGCCCGTTGGCCGTGCGACTATCGATAAGCTGCTTCTTGGCACTTTACTATGCATACCATCAAGACCCTCTAGATGATAACATGTAGGAACAATAACTTAATATGCGCGTGAAGATACCCTCATCACTCACAAGGATACATACATTTCCTTCGCTATCATCAATACCCTCCCGAGTATCAAAACACACCACCATCCCCTACTCAACCCTCCCCCAAACACCCAAATCACCCCATGAACCCCAATACTCCTCCCCCATCAACGCGGAGCCCCTCCACCGCTATACAACCGGCGGCTACCACCCAATAACACTCGGAAACCTCCTCCATCAAGGAAGATACAAAATCCTGCATAAGTTAGGATGGGGCGGATACTCCACTGTCTGGGCTGCTAGAGATGAACAGTACATAAATATCTCAGTTCCATTATCCTGACATTGAGTTACCTACTATCGAACAACCGCTAATAGATAATTGTGTTCAGAGAAGGGAAGTACGTCGCTATTAAGATCTGCGTAGCGGAGGATCATAGCAATAGAGGGCATCGAGAGATGAATGTCTTGAAGAGTCTAGACGACACTCAACACGTCGTGCGCATGCTTGATAACTTCGATGTAGAGGGACCTAACGGGCTACATCCCTGTTTGGTTCTTGAGATGTTGGGTCCAAGTGTGTCTGATCTGGTGGAGGGGCGGTTTGCAGATGGGAGACTTCCTGGGAGTTTGGCTAGGGGTGTTGCGAGGCAGGCTATGATGGGACTTGATTCGTTGCATCGTAGGGAGATTGCGCATGGAGGTCAATCTTTCTCTTCATATTTAACTCTTCGTGCTTACATTGTATAGATTTCCATATTCGCAATCTGGCCTTCGCTATACCATCTATGGCTAATATCCCCGAAGATGAATTCATCAATCTACTAGGGAGACCAGATATCGGATACGTCTGCTGCAATGATGGTGGACGTCTGGGGCCTGGTATACCGGAGTATATTGTTAGACCTGCGAATATACATTCACGATCACGGCCTTTATCAGAAACCATCAAGATTGTTGATTTTGGGGGATCGTTCCCACAAAATGATACGCCCAAGACACTCCACACTCCATTAGTAGTTCGGGCACCTGAAGTGATATTCAAAGACCGTCTGGATTATCGTGTGGATTTGTGGAGTTTAGGCTGTATGGTATGGCGCAGCCCTACCCACCAATGATTATTATGTTGTGGCTGACTGGTGTGATAGTTATTCGAATTATTTGTCGGTCAACCTCCCTTTGATAGCTTCTTGATCACTCCCAGGATTCTCGTTGAGCAAATGCAAGAAATGGCAGGTGAAGCATTGCCTGACAGATGGGTATCTTTATGGGAGTCAATGCGTGGTGAAGATATCACTGGGAACAGAGGACCTGGTTTGCAAGAGTGGCTGGAGGAGATGTACTTTGATGGTGAGCGCAAAGAGGACTTGTCGAGAGATGATATTGTGGAACTGGGGAGGATTATTCGGAAATTGCTACGCTTTGAGCCAGGTGCTCGTGCTTCGGTGGAAGAGATCTTGGATGAGCCTTGGTTTAGATATTAATATATCTATATAAGATACCTCTGGCATGAATGTGCAAGAAATCGAGGCAAATCTTCTCTGTCAACTGCATCTTCACTGTGATGTTAACATAGTGAATAAGTATACAACCCACACCGCCCACCACCACCAAGGCGGTACCACCAAACCAACCGGCAGAAAAACAATCCCATCCACCATCTCCACCACAGATAGAGATAGCTAGCTTCCCCAAGTCTACCTACATACCTATCCATTCATTCATTTACCTTCACATCCTCCCTACCCTCCCTACCCTCCCCCCACCCCTCCCAACAACCCCAAACAATTACAAAAAAAGAAAAGAAAAGAACAATGACCTCCCACCGCGCCGACGCCAGCACCTTCCTCGACAACCGGGGCTACAGCGGCCCCCTAGTACGCGGCGTGAACCCAGCGACCCTCTTCGAAAAAGCCGTTCGGGACCGGATCACCGACTCCTACTACTGGAAAGAGCAATGTTTCGGGCTCAACGCGGCGACACTCTGCGACCGGGCCGTGGAACTGACCTGCATCGGAGGCGTCTACGGCGTATCCGAAAAGCCCTCCCCATTCCTCTGTCTCGCATTCAAGCTCCTCCAACTCAACCCAGAACGAGACATTATCCTCGAGTATTTGAATTTCAGCGATCCCGACAACGAACCCACGAATGATGAATCCTACGAGGAGGGTAACGGGGTAGTCAAAGCGCGCGGCGACTTCAAGTACCTGCGCGCGCTAGCGGCGTTCTACGTCCGATTGACGTTCGAGCCGGTGGAGGTGTACAAGACGTTGGAACCGTTGTTGTTGGATTATCGGAAGTTGAAGAGACGGGTGCGGGATTCGTTTACGTTGACGTATATGGATCAGTTTGTGGATGAGTTGTTGACCAAGGAGAGAGTTTGTGGTACGAGTTTGTGGAAGTTGCCTGCTAGGCAGGTTTTGGAGGATTTGGATTTGTTGGAGGTTAGGGTTAGTCCGTTGCAGGATGAGTTGGAGGAGATGGAGAGGAGTGATCGGGAGGAGGATGAGGATGAGGATGGTGGTCGTGATGATGAGGGGAGTGAGGAGGGGGAGAGGCAGGGTGATGATTGAGGTGTCGGGCTTGGTGTCTGTTGAATTTTCTGACCTCTTTTCTGGGTTATTGGGCTGAGTACGCACACGGGATGCTGCGTAAAAGCCTGGATCCCTGGGGCTGTCGGCTAGATGGTGTTCGGCTGATGGCTATCAGATCCGTGTGGTAGTCCACCGGTTGCGCCGTTCAGCGCCTACTCTAGCTGCTGCTGTGCGGCCGTTCGGAAACCCGCTCCGGCGACACCTACGTTCGGTGAAACGATACGTGAAGCGACAGGCTACTGCTGCGGCTACGGATGTACGCACCTGGCCAAGCTCGGTCCTCGTGGGATACTATTGAGTAGATTGCTCAATTTTGGAATGCGCTGAGATAGCCTCCATTAAATCACAAAGCATGGCATAGTCGGCAATAGAAGGAATGAAACAGCCTCCCATATATGCAAATCCCATCCACCCATCTGGTTTACATACGTAAGGATTAAAATCCCTGCTGGCGATGCCATTTCTCCTGCCAACCCTGGTACCAAGGACTGTCATCCAAGGTTGACACCTGCCAATTCTTGGGGACCAATCCCTTCTCCTCTTGCTCCTTGGCCCACTCTTCGAGCTTCGGCATTACAACGTGCTCCACGTGCCAGGTGCCTTTGTAATCCATCAAGTTCTTTTTACCCTCCTTCAGGATCTTGGCCGTCAATGCAGGCACGCCCGGCTCGTCCTGGAATTCTGACACCGGTGTGAAAAGAGCCTTGAAGTTGAAAACAATGGCGGCAGAAAGAGGGAGACGACGGAGAGTCTGCCAGTCGACACGCAAGTGACAGTTGTCCAGCTGGAGGTTCGGGTCCTGGGAAAGGCGCAGTGTCTCGTGAGGGTCCCCTTTAGGCATGTACAAAGGCTGGCCGACCTCGAGTCCCCAAGATCCTCTCTGAATGGGCTTGTCGGCAGGCATCTTGGTAAAAAACCTAGACATTTCCTATCAGATCATCCCTCTTGTCCATATCTATGGCCGAATGAACTTACCGATCCATTGAAAATTGCATCTTCTCTTTGTAGTCCGGAATGTCCTCGTGGATCTGATGCAGCTGAAGGCCAATTTTGGTTCCAACATTCCATCCCAAAGACGAACAGATGACGCCTGCGCGTAGGAAGTAGAATCCCGTCTTCTCATCGCGCATCATGATCCCAAAATCCTCTGGCACATTATTGATAAGAATCTCGAGGGGATGCTTGGACTTGATATCCTCTGTCGTTCCTAGGATCCGATTGTGCAGAATCTGGTTGTTCTCGACGGCAAAGTACTGCGGGTAGCGGGCACAGATAAACTGCAATACCATTTCCATGAGCTCCTTGCAGGCCAGTTCAGAGCCAGGAAGATAACCAAGCACGGAGCTACCATGTTTGGCGTACAACTCCTTGCGCTGTTTGACTCGCTCTTTGTAGGTTTTTTCGAGTTCGATCCACCAATCGGTCTCCAACTTCGTAAGGGCTATCGCGTTGCAAATGGTTAGCTGGTGCTATTTGAGCAAACCAAGTATAAAAAGGGGATAACGTACACATTGTCTGATGGTAGGACCACCGGAACGGGCGATAAGGTCGTGGCAACGCCTTGTCAATGTCGAACTCATAGTACGGCTCCGGCAAGGGCACGCCACTGAGTTCAGCATAGTCAGGGAAATCACCCAGTGCCTTCACCTCTGCCACCGAGAATCCTGTTGGAGTATAGCTCTTGCCCGTGCATGTCTGGTAGTTCGAGGTCATAGGCAGTGGGTAGTTTGCAACTTCTTCCTCGTCGACACTTTCACATGAAATTGCAATCTTGGACGAATCGAGAACATGACGACGTTGTGGTGGAAAGATGTTCACATAAGGTGCAGAAGACGGTCCAGAGAGTTCCTTCTCCTCAGCCGCTGCTGCCCATGGCTGCCACCCATGTTTAGAGAACCTGTTGTTGCGAAGTCGACCTAGGAAACCGCTACCCTGCAATCTCCCGGTAACTAGGAAGAACCCAGCAAGTGAGAGCATGGCAAGGCCGATCAGCCATAGGTTACCCTGGTTGTTCAGTACGTCCATATTGGATACCTGCTGTCCCACAACGCCCAAAAAGACAATGAGACGAGAAGAGACCGTAGCCGCAGGGTTGTAGCGATCGGGACGCCGACAGAAACGCCAGAGGGGAACAAGAGCAAATATACCGCACCTGACAAAGTGGAGGCGTTACGTGAATGGAAGTCGGATGCGGTTCCCATAGCACTGACAGGCAGCCATACTAGAAAAGCTCAGCCTGCCCCAGAATTCTGGGGAAATCCCAGCTGATAAATCGGATATCCTGCTGCATAAAGGTGGCATCCCTCGACAAGATTTACTCTGTTTGGTGCGGCAATGCAGATAAAACAAAGATAAGGACAGTATCAGTCAGATACGACGCAGAAGCTTTGATAACCGACATGCTTCTTCTCCATGGCCAGCGGTCAACACGACACGATAACAGGCTCAGGCGCAGACTCATGACGGATCGGCGCAACCTTTTTAGCTGAGAGACGCGGCTGATTCGCCAGCTCCCACTGCTCTTCCATTGGGACGATGCGCCGAGGGCTTTTAAGACGCGCCTATAGCAATGTCATGTCCCACCATCGTCCATCTGGTGCGTACTCGAGATAACGTTGGGGACACAACGAGACCGACCCAGAACACTACAAGGGATGAGTACATCCGCTGCAATGTAACCAACAACGTTTGGTTCGTCAGCTTCAATTATATGTGCCACATATATCTCTCCGCCCTGTGGTAATCATTAGGTATACAGATAACCGCCGGAAGCGAGTTCCCTGCACCAGGTGAGGGGGTTAGGGGGTTTGAGGGGGTCTGTGGCTTGCGACAGGATAGAAATAGGCCCACGACATCATGATGATCGGCCTAAGCAGGCAAGAGACGCAACAAACCGAGGAATAGCAGGATGCTGGATCCAGCTGACGGAAGAGGGAAAGAAGCAGCGTTGAGAGGCGAGAGTTGGATTGCCTGGAATGGCAAAACTATCCCGCAGCGGGGTTAGTCATGTGCCGCCAGGTTGATTCCCATACTTCCTGCTTGCATCTTGCATCACTTCACCACCGTGCAATGCATGGGATTCGTCGCGGCAACGCACCGGGCTTGACCTGTCTCTGCACAAATCCGAAACGGATCAGCCATGCCGGGATCCTGGCAAGTGACTCGACCGTTATTGGGGCTCTTCCCCGGAGTTGATATCTCGGGCTAGTATGTCGATAATCTTGCCCAGGCTACCACAAGAGATCTCCAAAGACGTTGCTCAACAGAAGATGTCTCTGATTAAGCCTCTTTGGGAAGCTTGGCGGTTATATCTCCGAGAAAAGGACATAGTCTGGCAGTGTTGTGCAGATATTGACCCATACTTGTCCGACCCTCTCACGCAGTCGGCAAATATCTATCAATTTTCAGCAGCTGAGATCCAAGAATGATTGTCCGTGGCAGTTCTCTGGCTAGGTCATGGTCTGCAGATAACTACATGCCGGGAAGGGAAAGTATTATCAGAAGAGCACGCCCTGGATATATCAGACCTGTTGTGAAACCAGGCAAAGTTAATCACAGTCCCTCCTCATACAAAACCAATATTACAAGAACCACCGACAATACTCACATCCAGACGTCCATGACAACAGATTCATTTCACAGATTCATTTACACACGCACGACTCATTGGTAAAAAACAGCACACGAAGCACGCCCCATCCCTGTCTACGTATTCAAGAACCAGAAACTAGCTATCTCCACGCAAGCCCCATAAACCCGAAACTAACTACTAGGTGGCAAAACTTCATTGGCAATGCAGGTACCCGGACAGCATAAGTAGATAGTTTCAGGCCGTGGGTCCGTACATACAGATAGCCTAAGGTTAGATAGGTAGGTGATCGTGGAAAGTGGCAAAAACGACGTGTGGCTTAGGCAGACTTGATTGGCACTGGAATAGATCTCCAACTGGGCGCGGGAGCGGGTAATCCGTGCGTCGTAAGGTTTAGCTGTCACTTTATGTTCTGGACCCGGCGCGACTTGGAAAGAACCGGTGAGAAACCGGTTTGTTAGAGATTCGATTGTTGGGCTGGGCTGGGCTGGGGTTTGGGTCTGGGGCCCGCTACGATGGGGTTGAGGGACCATGGATAGATAGATCATAGAACCTTGTGGAAGTGGTATGGGACAGGTGGAGGGAATAGTATGTATGGAAACAGATCGATGCCTTTAGTATTCGGTCCGGTATTAAGCCCATTGCAATACATCAGTAGTATAGATGCACGGCATCTTTCGCTATCAGAACAACTTCGCTCCATCGTGGTAAGATTACAGGTTGAACCCAATGATAGCGACATATCTCACACCGACCAATCTTTCAATGCATTCATGCGAATTTCAAATGACGCTCCATGTAACCCTGACACTTGTAATAATAGAAACACAGACAATGGAAATGGAAATGAAAATGAAACAGAAAAACAGGGGCTAGATGACAAAGAGGTTCGAAGTAGGAAAACAAGAGCGAGGGGAAGGATTCTGGTTAATCCATTAGAGTATGTACTTCAGCTTGTAGCACAGGTCCCTGTGCTTCGATATACACGGAGGTCGACAATATCAGGGGAAAGAATCGATGGAATCTGAGAAGAGCCGCGCCTGATGACGTGGTTTTGCGTAGTAAGTTTTGTTGTAGCCGCCAGGCGGCTATGTTTTTCCACCTCCGAAAGGCGAATGAGGGTCCGTTTTAAATGCTTTTTAGCTTCCCCGCCCCTCTACCCAACGCACCACCGTGAGGATGCATGACGCGTAGACATCGTGATGATCGAAACACCGGAGGTGGGGGTTTTTGTCGGAGGGGTGGGGCTGTCGAGTCCATCGTCTCTCCTGTAGTCGAATGAAAAGGAAGTCAAGGATTATGTGACAAATGGGTATCATAACACCGCTGTTTTCGCCGAAACACGCAAATCGAAATACATAGGAGATGTAAATGCAAAACACGAAGAGATAGGGTTATGCGACACCCAACCGTTAGTCGGGGTTCGTGAGCTGCGTCACGTGTTAGCGTTCCAATATCAGGCATGACGATAGGGAAAACATGGGGACTGACCCGCAACACAGGCCGAGAATAATCTTCATTATCCTGGAGTGAGACATCGCTATCTCGGCGGCCATTCGCGTAGAGAACGGTATCGGTTTTCATGCGGTTGTCCGTAAACGTCGGCAAGCGGCTGGCAGCGGACCCGGCAGACAAGGTATGACTATGATTGTCGGAAAACATGCCCTTCATAAAACTCATCTGTGAGCCTTTGCTTTGTCTTCCATCCAGCAGGATGGACTGTACACTTGGATCTGGGCTGTTCGACCGCGATTTGCGTTTCGCGAAGAACAACACGAATATCAAGGCTAGGATGGCGAGGGCACCACCGACAGAGCCTACCACAACACCAGCAATGGTTCCTGAGCTCATACCAGAGTTGTCGCTACTCTTTGCGGATGAAAGGTTGTCCGCTGCAGACGTTGAGGTTGCTTTTGTGGCAGCGGGAATTGTGACCGTTTTGACCACCCCAGAGTCGGTTGTGACTGCAACAGATTCTCCCGTCGTCGTAGCAGCAGTAGTTTCAGATGATGAAGAAGTCTGGAAAAGGTCAGTCCTGTTCAATATCATAAGCATTGAGACCTGGCAGGTCATTGCGCACTTCAGCGACCGAAGCAGCCATGGCACAGTTGATAGCAACACTGTCAACAAACTCGTTCGCTGTGCAAGGCAACGGACCATACGGGAAACGTTCAGCCATGGAAGGCTAGCATGCCTGGCGAGTCGAGACATCGGCAGTGCGCAAATCACGACCCAAAGACTCCGAACGAGTGGGAAAGGGCTCTACTGACCGAGGTTGACGATGTCGATGTCGTAGAGACGGTTGCTGTTCCGGACGGCTGATGTCCAACGATCTCAACGTAACCGTAAAGGCCCTTTGAAGTACTACCACAGCTATCATCGGGGTAACCGGGACAATCCTGGCTACACTGCGAAGTGTTCACGTTGGTCGCTTCATTGGGAACAATGTTCGAGCACCAGCAGTCGTATCCCTGAAGAATACCAAACGCATAGTTGCTGCAGTGGTCCTCGCAAAGACCATTGGACTGGTAGGTACTTTCGTCTGCATGAGGTTAGTGACCGGATCATGACAACGCCACGAATATCACATACTTGCTGCTTGCGAGGAGCCTGTGTTTACCGAAGAACAGTAGGTGAGAGAGGATGCGACCGACACAGGCCAAGCAAGCAAGGCAATCACACCAAGCAATGGTGGAAGAAGGAAGTCGGCTCGCATGGCGAAAATTCCGACCGTATCCGTTGACGAGCTCCTGGCGTTTCAACGATTGTGTGCGAGCGAACGGTGATTATAAGGTGGCTCTGATGCCGAATTCAATTGGTCCACGCTTCCACTTTATGGAGGTGTCTTGATAGATGGCCGAGCTCCCCACCGACGGTTTGAAAACTTTTTCGAGTGTATCAGAATGGCGAATATCCAGAACGCTGCTATGGCCCGCCAGTCGAACAATTGATCCGTCAGGCCCGTGCCCGAAGCGAGTACTATAACGACAGGAGATTCGGGTAGACGTCCCGCAGGTGAAGGTAGACCGAAGATAGCTGATGCCGATCAGCCACGGACCTCCCAGATAACTCTTCGCAAGCTCGACTCCGAATCAATACGTACCAGATATCAGATGGGCGAATTTAGTGTCGTATTAGGAACGATGAAAAAATGAATCGGTTCAATAAAGGGGCGATTTCAACTGCGAGGGAACGCCGAACCAGACATTAGAGGGAATACGGGATCAACACAGCGCCGATAGGATTAGAAGGTAATCGGCATCATCCCCTCCAACCAAGACCAGGGGAGGAGTGTGAATGGCGAGAACGAGGGGTGGTGCTGCGTTCGGGGCGCAGGTGAAGAAAGTGGAAAGGGGTAAGTATGGTAGAGGAGAGGTAATGGAGAGAGACACAATTGAGGTTGGAGAAAGACAAATCTTCTCGGGGTGAGTCGAGCAGGCCCGAGAGGATGGGAATGGATGAGGAGAGGTGGACTAGACTACGGCGACGCCAGCGGGAAGCCTGCAAGTGGGAGAGGCCGTAGTGGTAAGGAAGAGTGAGTGAGTAAAATGCGAATACCGAAACGGAATCAGGCTGGCCTAGTCCCGATGTTCCACACCAGCGTGGCCACTGCCAGTAACCGTTCTAGAAACCTGCACCTGGAAATTTAAAATTATTGGGGCCAGTTCAGTAAGTAAAATATCACTCGGAGTACGTTCTCCGTGGGTGCGAGCAGCAACAGAGCGAGAGAAAGAGGAGGTATATCATGGTGAAATGGAAAGGAAGGTAACGGTACTAATTATGTATGAAGTATGGGGAAAAAGAAAACAAGAGGGAAAAAGAATAAAAATAAAAATCCGGCTTACCCGCTTTGCAGTGGGCCGCTGGCCGCATCGGGTCTAGCGGGCTAACCAACCGTCGGGTCCATACGCGTCGCTGTACGGAGTATTCCTCCCGTCGCTTTTACCTGTTACCAGCCGATTTTGTGCTTGGTACACCCGGATACACTCTTCTTTTTTTTGGAGGGGCTGGAGTCAAGCATTTCTTTCTCTATCTCGATGATGGGATCTGCCAAATGCCACCAAGCACTCTAAAAAAGACTTCCGCCAACGTGTATGACAACGTTCACGGGGAATACTGACCCTGTGTTTACTTTTCACCAGGAGGAGCTTGGTCGCAGTATCTTTTGATTCACTCTCTCGCCCCCAGTCAGTGGTATTTTCCCCAAGTGGGCAAGCTGACACTCCTGTCCCGAATCACGTATTTGGTAAGAATCGGTCTACACTCGTACCTGGACAAAATACAAATTCCGATCTGCTAGGAGTCTCCTACAGTATGCTTACGGTATGGCGCCACCACGTTAAGAGAAGAGAAAATATTTGCAAAGGTCAACGAAGCCCACTGTAAAATGGCTCTTAAGGGGGGAGGGAGAAAAGGGCAGAAAGAGTGGAAGATAGCGAGAGTGATTAAATTGAAAACATAAACACATAAAGAATGGACAGTACGGTCGGTCAGTCATGCAAACAAAACTTTAGAATCTAAGAGGTGCTGAGCGCCCTTTAAAGTGACCTGATCAAAGGAAACGAAACAATTTCATTAAAAGAGGCAAACTCTATCTTTGTGATCAGTGGCATGTAGTAGTCTGCCTACTGTGAGTGTGTGTATGTATGTATGTATCTGTTTCTCTGTAAATTCTAAGCTCAGGACCAACGCAATCCTAGTCTGAAACCACTATCTATCCTTTGCATGGGGCCGCGATCCTCCCATCCCAGAGAGAGATACACATTCTGGCTTAGTTGCTTATTCTCCTTCCTTGCCTACTGTAGCTTACTTGGATCGGATTCCGGTGCGAAGCCAACCAGGAGGGGTTTAGCTGCCTATTTTCTTGCCTGCGTCACTTTGTCTGACACAGCGGACGGGCACTTGGAAAAGCTCCTGTGTGAAGTGTTACTGGCTGTGTGAGGACGCCCCGACCGTAGATATGGAGCAACCAAGTGGGCATCGATGTTGGATATTACAACGTACCCAAGGAAAATGGATCTACCGGTTCAGCCACTTTGTAACCGAGCCAGGTATTCAGCGTTTGAGACAGGGCCACGGCCGCAGATCCTGAACCGTTGATTGGTTGTGGCTGGGCCAGCACTGCGTGGCCCAGTGTAGCTGTCGTCGTACCTGATACGTAGGCAGTCACCATTGATTTTGTTGAAGGATAAGTAGTAGACATGCGACTAATTGCTGAATATTTATTATTATTATTTTTTCGGAAATCTTCAATATTTACTGTGTTAAGAATTATGTATGTGGATGGTGAAAAGAAATTACTTTGTAGTCAAGTGACAAACGGTCGCTGCCTATTGAGGAGAAGGAGGAGGAAGAAGAAATCACCACTACTACTTAGCTACCAGACTAATGGTGGGGGTAAACAATTCCCAGGAGATGATGACTATTTTAGTGTCTAGCTTGCGATAGTCACTAGGACTATTCTGGGCTAGTGCAAGCAAGATAATACACAAGATACACACTGACTGTACAGGGTACAGTAACAAACCCGATATGCAAGGTAAGATACGTAACAAACAAATCATACGGCACTCGCCACCGCACAGGACAACTCCTGGTCTTAGAATCCGCAGCAAGTGGAGTTGCAACCCGGCAGGAAGGAGAGGTCTAGAAGGCAGGATCGGTGGTGCGCTGACCCGATTCCCGCGTATGATGTAAATTATTCCCGCTGCCTCTGGCCTTGGCCCTGTCGCGTCTCTGTTGGTCTGGCCGTGGCTGGAACAAAGTCGAATCTCAAAGGTAAGGGAAAGGGTCAAAGGTGAAGTACCACAATAGTAAACTTGGTTGAATACGTCCCTGGGAAGAGAAAGGAGATAACAAGTGGTGGACCGACGGTTTCAGCCGGCCTATCCCGTCTACTTTCCCAAGGATGTCCACCATAGGATCCACGGATGTCCGAAAGTTGGTCAGATCCAGGTGTTAACTTAACAAGCTAACTAGTAAGTTAATCGAAACCAACTTGCTTAGGCAGTGACAAATCATGCGGTCGCATCTCCAGCTCCTTCCACGGTTAGGAAACAACCTCGTGTCATGGCACAGGCACGCCCTGCAATTGGATGCTCGTCTGGGCCGCTGCCATACAAGCTTTGCACTATTATAAACAAACCATGTCGCTCAGATGCTGCCATCCGACATCATGATTACATACATCTTAGGCTTGACTCGGTCCATCATCGTGGGAGCTAAAGTATACTTCCGGTGAAGAGCTTCGGGGATGATTCAGTCCTGTAAACAGGTGGCATGGGGCCAACGGGCTCCCTCCGGAGTCACTAGGCAGCAAGGTGTTGCTCACTTGCTCCGTACTTCTGTTGCTTGCAGCAAGGCATCCGCATCACTGCACTCACTTCCTGCGAGGTAGCACGGAGAATTTGTTGCATTGCACCCTGCGACTTCATCGCTAGGACCATGAAACGATCGCATTGCTGGGAAGGCTAGGTATACACTACTCATATTTATTCAGTCGTGTCTTCCTTCATCTACAGGAACGATGAGAAAAGATCGACAATATTCGGCTTGGTATCGAAGGCATTCCAAGCTTTGCGATCGATCATCGTCGGGTCTTATTGCGATATATACATAACATGGTGCCCGCGGCCCTCCCGTAATTCTTTGCCCCTGTCAGCAAGCCTCATTACCACCCAAGCGGACTTGAGATCGCCTTGTCTAAGCCAGATCAGAAGAATATGCTTGGGACAGAAACGAAAAGTCTGGCTGTGCTCTCTATCCAGAGTGATTAGAAGCCCGTCCTTCGATAACATTGTTTCCGACTCTGCTAACGGTACGGAACAGCATATGATAACGCGCTAGACACATTCTTGCCTGGTGCTCCGGACATGCATCCATATCCCTGGAGTTGCACTAAACTACTGCACCGTCGATAGTGCTAAGCTATTGGCATTTTTGTCATCTGGCCAATGAGCTGTGCAAAGCCCATCTACCCAGACAGGCGATGCGAGGATGACGCCAGTAACTTAAATTTCTGAAACCCCGCCTTTCAGGTTCTACCTTCCTATCACACTACTATTTTGTGGTGCCTTCGATCGAGTCAAAACTCCCGGTCATATGGTTTGCAGTTGGACTACTGTCTGTCTACCTGGCGGGGCATGTTCAGCACTCGTCTAGGTCACCCTATGGTATTGATAGGGACCGTCTTATCTGTACCCAGTACTTCCACTATACGGTCGATCGGAAAACAGACTATTCCTTTTTTTGCTGGAGCCGCATGATGATGGCATGAGCAGCTGAACAGTTTGGCCTAGAATTGACTCGCAGCGGAATGCCCTTCGTTCTTAGCCTTTCAAACAGATATGAAGGGGTATCCTCACGGGAACTACGGCAATGCCGACCGGGCGACAGCCAGATCGCTAGCCTTATCTGTGAAGCCATCCGCAAGGGGGTGATAGCATTGATATCGCGGTACCAAGGGAATATAGTGTGCCAGTGAACCATGGAACCAGAGTGTGGCTGGTGCAGCCATCAGAAACAACCCGGGACACGATGAGACTATCGCAATGTCAGCAAGGTTACCAACTCACACACAAACAGAATTTGCCGGGCCGTAACCAGCCCAGTGCCCATCGCACTATCCTTAATATCGGCATTTGGTATTACTTACTCCATGTGGAGGACTCCATCACGATGATCGCTCTGCCCGCAAAAGCAATGTGGCTGAAGGGAGCGAAACAAAAACCGGAACGGAATCCAGGGCGTGAGCTGATTAGTCACATGCCGATCCGTGATTCGTAAGCGGGGCGCGGTCCTTCTGAAAGTAGTTACTCTCTTTTCATCAGTCAGCAGGCATCTTTTCATCTCCCCTGACCTCAGTGTGTGCACATATGGTGAAACTGAGTAGAAAGGACTCTCTAACATTGCTAGATGATTCAATAAACAAACAACACTTATACTCCCAACTACCACACCAAAAACAACAACAAAGACCCAAGCACGAACAACAATCAATCAATCAACTATGAATCCACCCATACAAAAATAGTAGCACATCGGCCATCCCTTTGGTGGACACTTAATTTACTCTAGCGGCGTATTTTTCATCTCCTGGCAATTTCCTCCGTCCGGTCCTAATTTTGGTCAACGGTAAACAATAGCAGCACCACCTTTTCATTCCCTACGATGGAGCCCGGAAGGGCTGCCTCGCTTGACTAACTATTTATTATCTACCAGACCAGTCAAGAATAACTCTCAGACCTACTAAGAAAGTGGAGATATAGCTGTCAGTCGATACTACTACGTACACCAGTCTATCTATACCTGCTATTCACAGTATGCAGTATCATTCTACCCGATTCTTTATTAGGTTTATTTATAGATGTACTATCTACTCATGGGATACTCATCAATGTTTACACAGGCGCACGCATACACAGTGCACTGACACATGACATATTTAGAACTTATTATATCCTATATCATCCGAGAAGTAAGGCCAGAGCAAGACAGAGAGCCCTATAGCCAAGTAGTCACACACACATACACCCATCATCCCTAAATATACCACTCCGCTCAATTAATAGCAACAATAGTAAATAGACACATCACATGAACTCCCCCCATCCTTCCCATCCCTCGAATCCCCATCACTAATCAAAGAAACCAACTACTAACCCACACATAATACCAAGTACCTACCACATACAGTAAATTCCTCCACAACCAAACCCTCCCCCCCAAAAAAAATGAAAGAAAAGAAGAAAAGGAAAAAAAAGAAATCCTATGTGACTCGTCAAATTAACGGGGGGCCGAATCCCCGAAATTCTGAAACATAAGGTACATACATTTTCTCATCCCTGTAGATACATACATACATACAGATACAAGTATGTGTGTGTTTACTCCGTAATGCATGATCATCTGCATGGACGGGTTGTGAGGCTGATTTGGGTATATGCTATGCTATGCTTTTGCTTAGGTTTCATTTTTAATCTATTTCTTTTCTGGTAGTAGTAGACGGGTTGCAAGCGAGAATGGTAAGTAGAGCGAATGGGATTGGGATTGGGGGCTGCTACTACTGCTTGTTGTCGTTGGCGTGGCTTGGCTTGATTCGGCTTGTTGTTGTTGTTGTGGGTGAGGCGCAGCAGTGGTAGCGACAGCAGCAGCAGCACGGTGCGATTGTGTTGGTTGATTTTGATTGTTTAGTGGGTTTGGGTTGGGGCTGTTGTTGGTTCTCTATTAATTAATTGATGTTGTTCTTGTTTATGGTTTACTGTCTTTGGTTTAGGTGGTTAGTTAACAAGTAAGCAGTCAAGCAAGGTACTAGATACTATTCATGTATTGCTTTATCCAAGGTGAGGGTATATAAACAAGTATGATGTGGTCTGGAACCTGACAACAACAACGGCAACACGGGTATCTGGGAACCCAAACAGACTCGGGTCTGCATCCGACCAGGGTATATTGGAGCTGTAGTATAAGTCCAAAGAAAAAAAAAAGTCCGCTGTTTCACCACCGCCCTGGGCGCTGAGGGCCCCTCCAGCGGTTGCCCTCGACGACCAGATCCCGTTCCTTCTTTCTCCGCTCATCCCGAATGAAGCGGGGAGGTGGTGGTTGGTTGTCGAGAAGCAGGGGCGCTGCTTTCTCGGCTGCAGGTATCAGAGGTGGTGGAGGAGGAGCAGCTACACGAGGCAGAGCTGCTCGCTCACGGTGGATCTCTTGAATTCGACGACGGCGCGCACGCCGAATCTCTTCCGAGCGCTCAATCAGTGCGTCGACGTCGTTCTATGCAGGTCTGTCAGTAGGGGATAGACAGGTGGCACACAAAGAAAAGTGAAACATGCCTGCTCGAGGTAGGAAAATATGTAATAGAAGGACTCGGTCTCCTCATACTCATAGCCAGACCGCTCAAGGGCCTCTCTCACTATCAGGTCCTTCGTAATCTCCGTCCAAAGGCCGTCACGACGGTCTTTGAGTCCAACGTATCGTCGTCCTATTCGCCCAAGTTGTCGTTCCGGGATATTGTCAGACTCTCTCACGTCTTTAACAACAAGCTTAGACTCACGATCGCCGTATCGTGAAGGCTTGATTTCTTGTGTGACTATCTCAGTCCGTTTCTCTTCCTTGGGTTCGGCTCTGACGATATCCAGCTCTTCCATGGTCTTAATGTCCTTCCTAGGAGGCGTGCGATGCCCACGGAGCCTGTAGTAATCCTCTTCTTCAATTTCTTCTTCGACGAGCGACTCTCGGCTACCATCCCGGCGTATCACTGTAAGCCTTTCCTTTTCGCGCTCCATAGACCTAGGCCTCGGAGGGTCGATAGGTACAACCTTTTCCCGCCAAGGTTGAGGGAATTCCTCTTCCTCTCGTCGAAGAATGAGGAGCTCCTCCTTGTCCCGTCGTCCTTTCCGGCGTCTCTCACTATTCGAGGGTGAGCGGCTTATAGTTGAGTATATGGCTTGTCCAGACATACCGTTCGCGAAATTCTGCTTCTGTAACTGTGATTTCAGGGCTATGAGCCCGAGACATGCTAGGCTTTGTTCGAAAGCCTACGAATGAATGTGAATGAGCAATGCTGGGATACATAAGGAAGAGGACAACTCTTACCATCACGAATAGGTCTACCGTGCCCCGGCGATGGAACTCTAGGGATTGCAATTTCTGGAGATGACGACCTTTCCCGTCTTTCGAAGATAATCTCCTTTTCCTCAACACTTCGCTCAGGTCTTCTTTCCCTAGGGTCCCAGAATGAGACTTCCTCCTCATCGACCTCTTCATCGAGCTCGTCGTCAGCATCATCTAAACTTTTGTGTCGGTGTGATCTGTGCCTGTGTCGCGAATGCGATGACCTCTCATAGAAAGGGCCACTGCGGTGCCTCCTATGGTGTTCCTCCACTTCGGGCTTTCGAAGCCGCACGTCACCTTGCTTATAATCCAGTTCTCGCAGTCTTCTTTCCTCCAGAAGACTCCGACTGCGTGGTTTAGGTGCGACCTCTGGAATCTCATACCTGCGTCGATGCACCGGTCGTTCTTTTCTCGGCACAAGAACAATATCACTGTCAGACTCGCTATCAGTGTATCTTCGATCCGTTTCCTCGCGAAACGTGATCTCTTCCTCTATATCCCTGTCCCTCGAACGAGGCCGTCCACGAAGAGGGGGTTCATCCCAGTCTTTCTTCAAGCGGCGCGGCCTCTCACGAGGTGGTTCAAGGTCTTCTGGCTCACGCCTAAGGATTGGTGGCGCTAAATCACGAGGATAGCCATGAGGCTCACGTAACATCTCCGGTTTTCTTTGAGCTTCCAGGTGTAAGCGTTCAAGTTTGTCAAGCGGTAGTCCCTCCGATCCTTGACGATTGTATCTTATATCTTCCTCGAAGAAACGCTCATCCCTGCCTCGTCGTGGATACACATCACGCTCAACTTCGTACATGTCCTCCTCGTCGTATTCTCGAGCACGACCTCGTCGAGGCATGGTGTGTCGTTAAGTATAAAGGAAGGCCACAATGGCTAAAGATATGTGCACTAAATAGAGTTCTCAAAGAGCGACATGTAAAGGGTAAACAGCAGGTTCTCGCTAGGCGGTTAAGGCTGGTGTGCGACGTTCCTGAGCAGCTGTATGAGTGACGGAGCAGGCAGGAGGCAGGAGCAGCTGCTATGCGACAGAAGCACGGCACTAGCAGGAGACGATCAAGTCATTCCACCGTAGGAAAATCAGCCTGACGATAACGTTATTCCTATTATGTCAGTGATGGAAAATATCTGGTTGCAAGATGATAGGCATCCGAGCGAGTCCAGCCTGGAAGCGACCCCGCGGCTGAGTCGGCTGATGTCATGCTGCAGCACGGGTTCTCTGCCCGAGAAATCTTCCCAATGCTCGTTGGATACGAGCCACCACATTATCCTTTGAGCTGGTCGATGAATGATTCAAATGGCTTGTATAGATCTTCGGGCCATGTGGAAATGATGTAGAGATTTGAGTACTAGTGAGAAAGGCCTAGCGAAGTCGTGGAACCGTGGTTCAGCTGGCGGTAATGTATGTTGTTGGCTGAGTAGTAGTATGATGATGATATATTATTCATCGCCACAACTCAAACAAAGTAGATCTGATCGATGATTGGCGATGTTGGTTTCCAATTGTTTTTTTCGATGAGATGCTGAATATCACCATTGATGTTGTAGTTATGGTAGTAGTTGTTACTACTACTGTTTAAAGTGGGAACGAACCATGTAATCTGTGACTCGCTTCAAACTATATATTGTGCAATGATCGGTGCCTTGAGTTAAACACAATCGGGAAATTGCGGCCTGAGGCTACCAGTAAGTAATCAGTGATAAATTAATACTATAAAACGTGACATACACAGCGTTTTATTCTCTTTTGATTCCCAAAGGATCTGACTGTACTTGATCCTGGATTGTATACTATATATTGATATCTCGCTACATATAAGGTTAAGCCTTACCCGAATTTGAGACGAGTCTGCCCCTTCTCTGGCTTACCCCGATTGCTACGATTGGCCTTATTACGAGCATTAGATGCCCCGGATTTGCTTGTGGGTACTGGAGAGTGTTGAGGAACGCTGGATGCCTGTCGTTCTTCATCTGCCAGGTCTTTGGCAAAGTGCCAATCATCATGTTCACCCCTCTCGTGTTCTGGTAGTACGCTTCCGCAGCGACTGCAGGTATAACCCTCTGGCAACGTTTCTATTAGCTCAGATGAGGGGTCTCTGGCCTGAAGGGCTGACTCTGTATGCTCGCTGAGCTCGGTTCCCATATCTTCTGCTTCAGGATCATCCTGGTCAGGGTGTAGGTCAGTCTCCGGCGGCTTGAGGAAAAACCGCTTGATGCCATTGGTTTCCAGCTTCTGGCGTTTCTCATCGGGCTGCTGAGCATCCGACGACTCTTCAGCCATCAGATCCCTCTTCGGTTGTGAGGCTTTTGCCTGCTCACCGCGAAGGAGGAAAGAGTCTATTGCCCGGTTCTTCGAGACGCCGTCTTCGAACCCACCGACGCTCAAGGAGAGATTGGCGCAGGGCCATGCACGTCCGTCTGCTATGACCTGTCGGAAGAGTGTTTTCCCAAGCTCAAACAGTAATGTTTCATCAATGGGTACTGATCCGGAGATGGGAAGTTGACGGGAGCGAACCTGAGCTCCTTGACGGTGATGCAAAGCAACTGTTTTGGGGCGGCGCTTGTGCTCAAGAACGCCATCCTCAACAAGGCGGCCAAAGATATCGGCCGCAAAAATACTAAGCCATTTGTCTGCCTGGTCAACCGAATTAATGCTCGGCCTGAACGACTTGGCTGAAAGCATCGATTTGATTTGGGTCCGCGGGTTGACCTCGCTTTTGTCTTCTCCCCGGATGATTCCATAAAGCCAGGTAGCAGTATCGTCATCCAGTTTGGCGCGAAATTGCTCGAGAGACACCTTCAGAAGGTCACTCACTTGTTCTGTTCCAAACATTGCGGTAACCTGGTCACCAAGTTTACCCCCAAGCATCCTAATCTTCGTGAATTTGTAGCCACTGAGAAATCGTTGTACAGCACGGTTCCGAACAATGGTCTGCTTATTCGGCTTGTTGCAGGCGCTCCCTAATTTTGCCATCATTTTGTTCTTGGCAACACCCGCAGAGCAAGTGTATTGGAGCCGATCCCAAACAGCTGCCCTGACCGACCGAACAATCTCAGACCCTATCAGCATAGCGATGTCATCCCAGTCGGGGTCATCAACTTCCGTCAAATGTTCGTCCAGATCGATCAAACAGTCCTCAAAGTCCCACTCAAGCGCAGTAGTAGGCGGGACAGGAAGTGGAGTGACTCGGTCATCACCTTGCAGTCCAGCTCTCAGTTCAGGATACCGTTGAAGGAGGACACCGTGCACAAGAGGTGACAGATCAATGAAGACTTCATCAACGCTAGCTTTTTCAAGACCAGCGTGCTGTACGGTAGACTGAGCGCCAGCCCCCTGTTCGTCACCAACCAGCTCCCTATGCCATCTCGCCAGTTCCTCCTTCATCACCTTCAAAATTTTGCGCGATTCCGCCCGGTATGGATCGAGACACACCTTATCGGTGTTCATCCGCTTGAACGCATCATTTCTGTATGCCCATTTCCCACCTTCTCCTTCCCGGAACGTGGCCACATGTTGTAGGATAATATCCGGACATAGCTTCTTAGCCTCTGCTGCCGATATCATCCTCGTTATACCGAAGGATCGGGCGGGATAATTTATCGCAATGAGCGAGTCCCATTGTCGTACAGCTAAGGGGACCGTGCGGGGTGTCTTAAGGCGCACCATTTCACATTGCGCGTAGAAGGCATCGAGATCGACATGAGCAATCACTCGCAGAGGTGTTGCTGTTGAACTTTGACGGAGAAGCTGTAGGTGACGATAGGTGTAGCGTGATTCGGTCTTCAAGGAATCGGCGGACGTAAAAGTCGACGGGACGGGTTCCGGGGAAGAGCGTGACATATTGAAAAGGGTAGTGCTATAGTCATTGCGGAACGTAGAGTAGCGGCTTCACGTCAAATGAGCTCAGATTGCTGTATTCTTGGATGTGACACCTCCTTCTGTGAAGAAGTCGGGCTGAAATCCGCGCTGGATGCCCTGATCTGAAGTTGCAACCGTTGACTCGGGAAGACCACTTCCCAAAGAGGATTAGCTTAGATTAGTCGAACGGCTGCATCGCGATCGAGTCAATCTAATCGACACTGCGACGGGAGTATACTGGTATGTCTCCTTCTTCTGGATTCATCCTTCTACTCTGCTTCAGATGACCTATGGAACACCGTTCTAGTTTGATGACACTAGACATTACTTCAAGTTTGAATTCTCGAATTTGCTGCATTTTCACTTGCTTACAATCTACAAACTTTCAGAGTACTGACGACACCGCTATAGCTACAGGGAGCAGTAAATGCGTTTATGCGTGTTCCCGACCACACAAGGAAGGATCATTTAGCTAATGCGAATAAGGCATCAATGAAAAGACTTTACTGATAGAGAATTGTTGATTTCATCCCAAAGATCAACGTGAAGTCATGAGGTGCATGTCGGACCTCTGATCAGATGAAGGGATGATATCATTAAACTCAGATTCTCAATAAATCTCGAGCTTGGTCGGTCACATGGTCCTCGCCAGTGATTATTGGCATGATCTTCCCATTGCAAACACAAAACAGACTGTCGGGCACCCATTCTCTTGCCCCCTCTAGATGTCTTACTCGAGGCATCTGCCGAGTCAGTTGTCAAATGAAGGCAACAATATCATTCGATAGCCTTGAGTTTTCCAGACTGCAAGACCGCGCAGACTGTAAAACTGACTGAGAATGCAATATCTCCATGGCGCTTCATGCTTTTCAAACTATTAATGTTAATGCATGAGTCTTCGGTGAGATTAACTGTGATCTAATTTGAGCAGGCAGCATATGCATGATCACTAAGTACAGCATGTATGCCTCTTTTTCTTCACCTGCGAACTCGATAGGGTTGATGCAGCCACTATGGAGACCATGCGACAAAGTAGACACCTGGACGGATGTCATTCGAGCAAAGGATGGGTCCCCAAAACTTGGTACATGGGGTCTCACCGCCATGCTGATACTATACTTTACTATTGGGAATGGTGACCCCTCGGTGGTGGGAAAAAAAACGCCTTGTCGCCTGTCGGACTCTGAAAATGGGTCGGGAAAGTGTGTGACACTCCATGTCGGGACACAGTTGGCGTGATGGGGGATTTTGTGTGTGTGTGAAGGAGGGTGACAGCCGCGCGAAGCAAAGTTAAAAAACCCCAAGAAGGCAACAGGGAGCATCTGATGGTGTTACAGAAGCCAGATGCCATGCTTCGAGACCGCAAAGACCGGTTAGTTAGGTCCGTCGGTGCTGTTCACCCTCTGAGGGTGTGGTCGCGAATCAAGGAACATCCGACCAGTTGCTGTAAGGGAACCGAGATGGTCGATCATGCAGCTGGCCAAGGATGGTCAAGTGTTCTTGCCAGATTGCTTTATGGGGAGGAGGGGGCTGTGGGTGTGTGTGTGTGAACTGTGAAGACGTACTACGTACTCTCCTGTCTACTATCCTTACAGTTCGGACTACCCAAGAGGGATACGAAGTTGTGGAAGGAGAATTACGAGATGCTGTTGCTATTCGCTCAATTTCTGGTATACATTCCATATTTTCTTTCTTCTCCTTAAAATAATAAATCATTTGTTATCTTCTAGATTCACCGAGAAGTCTTCTCTACTGTGTATTCTTCATCTCATTTCGAACGATACCAAAGTGGGATGATTCCCACAACCTTCTCCGCTTCCCTCATATAGATCCCTGTCAGATAGACTCACAAGTCACCACATTAAATTAGTAGTAGTACCAAGATTGGAATTTCCACCGGGAACCAAACAAGCGAGCCAGCCATCACAAGAAACGCCCCCCCCATCCAGCGCTCAAAGCGGGATGAATGGAAAGTTCTCATTCATGGGTCTTGCCCATCCCCAGCCCACTTGAATGGAGGATCGAGGATGATCCTGAAGGAGGAGAATGATTGAGTGACTGAGGAGGGTAACCTTCCTTGGGTGGGAGTGGAGAGCGGGCAAAAGAAAGAGAGAGAGAGAGAGCGAGAAAGAGAGATACTAGATTACTAGTGGTAGGGACACAAACGGGCGGATGAGTGCCCAAAGCCGCCACGCATTCCTGCCCAACCTGTAGTGTCCACCCCGGGCGCCAATTTGACTGGCTGGTGACAAGGACGGGTTCGGCAGCGACAGATCCTTGGGTTCTTTAGTTGCAGATTGAGCGGGAGCACAAAGTACCCAGTCGACTAGTTGTACTTTTCCTCTCTGCGTGAGCAAGCTAGTTGCTACCTTGCAGGTACCAGATGCGACCGATTCGACGTGAAAAACCCTTGTCTGGGCTACGGAGTACTCCGTGCCTAGTCTAGTTCCTTTCTCTACTAACGATGGAGTTGGGAGTACTTCCGTTGTCGTTCTGCATGGGTATAGGGAAGTAACAGTTCCGTAGCAAGCCTCTTACTTTGTGGTACTTTGGTTTGGCTAGTTACCCAGCCCAGCCCCCTCCCCATCCCCTCCATCAAGCTGATCTAGCTGGGGGTGATTCCCGTAAGGCAGGCAGCCGCTAACGACTCAATATGTGCAGCAATCATAGAAGATATGTGGTCAAAAAGGTAGCAGTAGCTTTGAGGTTCTCAGTCGTGCAGGTGCACAAAAGCAAGAGCGCCCAGTCAATGTAACAATTTTGACCAATAACTCTGAATGGTTCTGATATACTACCCCGTACATATCCCTAAATGCATTTTGATGCCTCGCAGCAAATAGTTTCAACTGCAGCCTCCTGTCATCACCATCAGTGTCACCGCAATTAACAACATGGACGCACAATTTATTATTTGTGCCGGTACTCCGTCCTCCGTACCACTGGGAATGAACCCTTTCTGTGTGTAGTTGCGGCTGAGTCATCCAACGCTAGGCAGACCGACGAGAGCCGGGGGAACCGTTGAGATACTAAAGTGAGTAAGTAACTGCAAGGTTCTTCTTCGTCGTGCATCCATCTGGTTGGTGGGTGGAAGCAAGCATTACTTGTGCAGTGCAGGAACAGCAAGAAGTAGGCTGAGAACTATTAGCTTACTATTGAATAGGAGCATATAATAATGAGGCTATCCAAATATCGTATCATGTTATATCACTGCCCGCAATTATGATATTACTAGTAGTATTACCGTTGAGCGGCTATCCATGGATCCATCGCCGGACACCCAAACGGGCAGAATTTCTCCGCGGTTCAATCAACCGTGGCTCGTGATTCTTCGGGAATATGTTAGAAGTCTAAGTAAATAATAGGAATCTAGTATCTACCCAACTATGGGACTGACTGGCAACAACTACTATGAGCATGTTTAAAGAAAATGAAATTCAAAGACAATAGTGATATAAGGCAATATTCATGTTGTTGATTATTAGTTAATGTTTTTAATTACTCAACTTTTTAGTGAATTATCAGTAGAGATATTATTATAATTATTTACTGAATCAATGCCCTCCATTAAGAAAAATCGAAAAATAATAATAAAAAAAGAATTATTTTCCACCAGTTCGCCGCCCTAATAGGGGAGATCCTCGAACGCCATCCGCATCATCTTTGCTCATGGGTCAGCGTCAGCATCCCACCAGCTGCATCAGCAATAATATTATCCATCATCCATACTATTCACAATCAAGCCGCACGGGTAGGGGCAGGAAAATCGTCTGCACCATCGCCTTCCATGACCCCGGCGGCTACGCCTCATTAGTCGATGCAAGTTTCTAGTGGGAGTCATCGCGCGCTCATCGTGCTGCCGGAGAGGGTCTAATCGTCGGGTTGGGTGGAGTCAGTCGTGGCACCAGACATGGCCAGGCAGCCCAAAGATGGCCCAACAGCCCAATCATCCCAATCATCCCCCCTCGGCCAGCTTCACCTTCGCGATACTCCACTGGCTGCCCGCCCCCCCTCTCTCGTCTTCCCTCTCTCCCTCTTTCCCTCTTGTGTCTTGTCATTCATTAGATACACAGTAACTTACTACTACTACTACTACTTACGAGACTAGTTAGTCGCTCGCTGCTCCTCTTTCGCCGCCCGCCCTGCAGGTTTCTCGCCCTCTTATCTTTTTTTCCTCCCCGACTTGTCTCATTTTTTCCCTTTTCTCTTTTTTTCCCCCCTTCTCTTTTCGCCGCCGTAACCTCCCATACAAACCTTCTTCCTCCCGCCTCCTCCTCCCACCCCCCCCGACTCCGAAACCTCTCCTGCTTCTCTCTCTCTTTCTTTCCTCATTCCTCCACACCTCTCTCCCCTTCCTTCACTCCCTCCCTCCCTCTCTCTCTTCCCCTCTGGCCTGGTTATTCCCTGCCAGTTCAAAAGGTAATAGAGTCTGTGTTCGGGAGCGTTGAAGTGAAAATACACAATCCACCCACTGTTCAAAAGAACCGGAGATTCCACCCAGGAGAAAAATAAAGGCCTTTTTTCTCCCTCATCTCCCTCTTCTCACATTCACCTGAGATTATTCTCCATCATTCCGAAGTTCACATTCACACGTTGAGCTCTCTCGTCTCTTCCTCACCCACCGGACCTATTGAAGGACGTTACTGTCTCTTTCGTTTGCGACTTGCTTAATGCTGGAAGTGACCTATATACCTTGCATCCATCCTTGACAACCTCCGTGGACAAGACACGCTCTTACCGGGATTTGTTTCTTTTATTCTCTCGGAGCAAGAGCCATATAACCAACCCTGGGATTCCACCGCTCTTCTAAGTCGCCTTTCGTGTTCTGCATGTGTGCTTGTGTCAACCAAAAGTCGGATTAGCCTTATTTCTCAGCCTTGGAGTTTCCGGACGCTGTCTCATAGAACTGTACTTCGTGCTGTTTCTTCTTCCCCTCAAATCAACCCCCCAATCTCCCTAAAAGAGACCATCTGCCACCACCTTCCTCTGGACCCGTCGGCTCTTCCTGATTTCCCCGGACCTCATTTGGCCATTTGGACCCGTTGCCTATAATTACTTTAATACTGGAGACCGTTTCCTGGAACAAACAAAAACAAAAATGACTGGCCGTCTTGGATATGAGGGGCGCCCGGAGCGTCAAAACGAATACTTCATTCCTGGCGATGGTATCAGCCGGGAAGTCATCCAAGCAGACATTTGCCGTTACCTTGGAAATGATGCGCTCGTAAGACCCGGAAACCACAATGTCTGTGCCCCGCTGCTTTTCCTATGCAATTCTCTAAGATTATACGAACAATGACGCGAACATTTGGGCGGGATCTGCCTTCTGGACGAATCAGTAACTGACTAGATGGGAAACAGGGTCGTCAGGGTTATTTCATTCGCGCCTACCGGAATCTCACCTCTGTATGTTGTATTTGGTTTTGTGGTATTCCCCAGGCGAAAAAGAACGTGTCCGACTAACAAATGGCTTGTGCTGCAGGAAATGATTGCTGACCTCAAAAAAGACTCGGCTCGGTGGGAGGCCGATGTTCTACGTCGGGCTGACCAGGGCTATCCCAGAGGTAGCTACCAACAAGAATTAGGCTATTCCCAGGCACCCAGCATGCCCGCGGCGTCCTACCCGGTATCTGCCATTCATGAAGGACGTCAGCAGGGAGGGCCATCCCCTCCGCCTGCCTACTCAGCTCCTCCCCCTGCTCAGCCATTCCCGGTGGATCCATATGCACAATCGTACCAGGCGACTCAAAGTCCCCCGTACCCACCTGCATCAACTTACACCGGCCCCAACCATTCACCCTATGGATCTGCCCCGAACCCCTACCCTAGTGGTCAGATCCCTTACACTACTTCCAGCCAACCTCCGGTGACTGCTGAAATGCACCCGTCGTCATACACGTATGGCCCTGGCTATTATGAGAATGGAAGGAGCAATGCCCCCAGGTATCCCGGGCCTGGCTATGAAACCGAACAGGACTATTCTCCAGTTACCACCGGGATCCCTTACCCTACTACCACAGCCCCGGACCCTCGGATAGGAATGGATCCCAGATACACTCCTGAGGCATCATACCCTCCGGCAGACCGCAATAGGCCACAACCAGCCAGAGGCGGGGAAGCCCCTCGCCGGACTAGGTAAAGAAAGTCAATGTCTGCTTTCTACGGGCGTATATACTATGAACCCTTTGTCCTTAACAGTCTATATCGTACCTGGGATCTTGCAGATATATCCACACTTCTGCTTATCCTCAGAGCCCTGAAGGACCAATCTTCCTTTCTTTGCGTATAGGAACATGAGACCGGAAGGAAAAGCGTGCATCATCGTTTGTCGGAAACAATTTGCAACTACCGGAGCCACATCCTTGGATCATCGGATATTATTTCTCCTGGACATCCATCCATCTTATCTCTGATATACTCTTGACTTTCCATCCAACGTCCATGGAGACGTTGCCTCGCGCTCTTGGTTGGCCTGGTTATCGCTCCATTGCGCGAGGCACACGGCCGTCTTTTTCTTTGGTGTAAAGCTTGGTCGACCCAAGCTATAACGTGATGGATTTATGAGGAGGCATTTTGGCTTTGTCTGTTGTAATTCCAGCCATTGCTGTGCTTTGTCTCTTTTCTGCCTTGCTGGGTTTTGGTTTCCATTGTCTGGTTATTCTGTGGTGTATTGGTCGTGGAATTCTCATGCGTTTGTGCCACAGTCTTCATTCTTCGATCGGTGTTTTTCGACCATCTCCTACATGTTGAGTCCGATGGAGCGCCAACTGATTTCAGGAAAATATCAGCCGGGAGCTTTTGATGACATACAGTGATGCTGTTCACGAGCTATATGTAGATATGAGCATATACGGCGTTATTTTTTGTGGTTCGCTGGTTCTTCGATGGTTATTCGCATTGACCCAAGGGTATAATAATCGACTTACAAAGTCAAGCCAGTGTGTTATCTTGTACTTGACCCCTTGCCTGCGCGCACCTTAAACGCTGTCCAATTGCAAGTGACTGTCTGCATGCCTTGCCTTGCTCTCCGAATCGTATGCACAGAAAGCTAATTGATGTAAATCATAGAATCTCACTTGCTGAAGCAGCGTGACTCCAACATTGCTGGTATCTGCTTGTAACGATGCTCTCACCTTATCTCAATTACTTTCAGCACATTGTGTACCGTGTTTCAATACGTGGGGAACAACCTGTGTATTCGTATCAATTGCGACGGCATGCCGAGTGAAAGCCCTTTCCTTGTATATAACTTTTATACACAACTACCAACACGGAAGCCCGCCTCTCACATTGTCTTTTGTTCCAACTTGTGCCCGTGATTTCGAATTGTAACACGCACCGAAGTTGGCCTCTGTTCACTCATTCACCATATAACACTTGTGTCTATTATAATAGAGCTCTGGACTGTTATATTGTGAAGCACCGAGCAAGTTCAAGGCAACGATGCAATCAGTCACTTCTAGTCTCTCGGCGTCGTTCACAATGCTACCTCGCTATATAATGCTCATTATTCTCTTTCTGCACCTTTCCAGAGACTACTTCTCGCACTGCTTTAGCGACAAGTATCTGGAAAATATACTCAGTTGCATCGAATATGTCTGTCTTAGATTTTCCGCAGTACGCTGATGGCGATGTGAAGCTCACCATCCACCCGGATGGCTATCGGTTGCATTCGAACCGACTCTGCGAACACTCAAGGGTTCTGAGGTGCCTGCTAGGACCGCCAAACGAAGTCTATCCACTGCCACATATCCAGGGAATGGATAATTTGGGTGTTTATAATCTCTATCTTATTGGCGAAGCTGCCCACAAGTTCGGGGTCTTCCAGCTTCAGGTAAGTAGACGCCCTATGATCAGAGTATATCTGTGTCAGCTGAGATTCTAACGAGCACCTACAGGTGCCCCGTCAGTTTACGAGCGAGATCAGAGGCTTTCAGGCTGTGGATTACATCCCAGTCTGGCCGATGAAAACCCGTCGGTGCTGGGAGAACATCTTTAGGATGTTTTATTTGCTGCCGCCAATCCTCCACGACGATGGACCGGAAAAGAATTTCCTGGACAACAGTTGGAGAGTTGCTGAGCTAGCATCGGAGATTGAGGCGGAAAATTATATCTTTCCTATCCTCGGCGCAGCACTGGAGGGCTACGAGCAGGAGCTATATTATTCTATCTCAAATGACCCGATCGGTTGGGTGAACTTGGCTATAAGAATCCAGTCACCCACGATCTTCCGAGAAGGCATTATTCACATCGTTGGACGCTGGAACTATGTGACGGATGAGGGCCACGCTTTGCTCCCTGGCCAGATCCGTGAGCTTTGTGAGAGAAAACATAGAGATCTGCAATACGACAAGTGGATGATAGAAATGAACATCCTCAACCACCCCGTCGCTGATCCACATGATAGAGACATCTACATGTGGATGGCCAAAGCATTTTATCAGCAGTGGCTAGGCAACTCCATTGCTGAAAAAAAGACATACCGTTCTTTGGATGGTGGGGCTGCCTTCTACCGCGCCATCAATGCTGGTGGCGATGCCTATCTTCCAATAACCGATCCCCAGACCAACCTCATCTTACTGCCCATTAGACAAGACGAGGTTACACTCGTCGAAAACCGCCTGAATGCCTTGAAGAATGCTGTAAAGCATCTGGTTGATAACCTACTTCGGAACAGATCGCGGTTCAACCCCTTAGTATGGGGCGATTTACATTATTTGACATGTTGTGAAGTCAATCAGCATGACATCCCTTGGCTGGCAGATAGGGCTGCACATGAAGATGTAGCTCTTATGCATACCATGAACCCTGCTGTGCCCCTAATGTACAGGGACAATATTCAAATGGAGACACGTCAAATCCACACGCCTCGCATCCCCCAGATACTTATCGAGAACCCTTTGCCGGAGAACAATCCCCAGATAGTTACCCAGCGTCTCGCATCTCCCTACTCCCCATCACTGGAAATATCCCCTGATCGCAGCTCTAGTCAGCCCCGGAGTGAGCTGACCTACGCTGTCCATGAGCCTGACTTGTCATCGGATAACTCTCAAAGCAGCTTCATCAGCCCGCCTCAGTGGGATGAAGAGGATGATTCAACGGCGCGAACCGAAGCCGAGCACCCAGTGATACCGGCTTTCGATGATTTTATACAGACATATCCCGAGATGTTAAGTGGAGGAGATATTACCTTGGTAAATAATGCGAGCCCTGCCTTCATGTCTTCCAATGTCAATGTTGAAAGCCACGGACATAATACTCAGCACGATGGCTGAGAGTTTGGCTGTACTGTTTGTCTACAGCAGAGTGTATTTTAGTTCTGTGCTTCGGACTTTTCTTTGTTTGCTACTTCTTTTCGATTGTATTCTCCTCTGTTTTACTACTAGTATGTTCTTTATCATGTCTAGGTTTCTCAAATTCGGAGTCTTGTTTTCTTCAATCTTCAGTCTGATCTACTATGTTCATTTTCATGTCTCCGTTTCTTGTTTTCTGGGTCTTGTCTTTTCTCCTGTACATCAAGTTCAATGGTCCCTTACGGCGCAGTAAGGCTTCTTTCGGCGCAGTATTCCACTGGCCATCACGCATCTATCTCATGGTCATACCCCTTACCACAGAGACCACACTCACGATACAAGCACAAACAGAAATTCGAAATGAATAAAAAAAAGAGATAAAATTATGAACTCCGCTCTGTAACCATTTTCACATACAATAAATACACACACACATCTTATACCCCACCCACAGCACCTCACCCCTCCCTGCCAAAGAGCACAATGGGTATAAACATGCCCGACAGGAAGAAGGCGGAGGGGGCACATGCACACGTAGGAAAAAAAGATACCCAAAATACCCAGATCAAGGCTACCTCCGGACAAAGCGAGGCCCGCCGATCACTTGCTCGTTGATTGAACAGCCAGCCTCCCTTTCCTTCTAATCTATCCGCGCCGGAGTCGCACGTTGCCCATGATTCAATGCAGAGCTAGTTGTCGGTCCCGCTATCGTCCGTCCATCCATCCTATCCTTTCCATTTCGCTATATCCGAGGTTAAGATGGATTTACTCGTCATCGTAACCTTTCGGGAATGTGCGGGGACCGGCGGGGACTATCAAGCGCAAGGCGCGAGCATGTCAGTATACTCTACTAACTTTCCAAGACAAGCAGGGGCTCAATTGAAGAGCCGTCAGTGGAAGCGGGGGTGCAACATACTAGGATAAGACATAGGGATAGTCTCGGGATCAACGTCACCCAAGGCACGTCTAAGCGGGGGCAAACCGACGAGAGCAACGGGGCCCATAGAACCGATGATAAGGGAGTAGAAGATGGCGGGACGTTCGTGAGAAGCCCAGCGGAGGTAGCGGAGAGGCGTAGACCAGAACTGAGGCGTCGACATTGTTAAGGATTTTCTTGTTCGTTTGCGGAGGTGTTCGGGTGTGTGAGGCGGTAGCGGAACAGAATGAATATAATCAATCTGCGGATGGAATCCTCTATGGGCAATTAAGGCCGGGGATTAATTGAACCTGCGGAGAGGTAGGGCAAATTGAAGTCGGGGATTGCGACGCGGGCGAGGGGAAACGAATCGATGGAGGTTGATTGAAGGTGACGAAAGCCGCCAAAAGTGGATTTGCCGGGTCTTGGCGTTCGGTCCAAACACGTCGCCCGTTTGGGGTGTGTGTCTACGTATGTATCTACTACGTACTTCTTTCTTTTTGACGAGCTCTCATCGAACAACAAAACCATCATTCTTTTGTGGTTCGCTCGTCGGGATATTTTGTTTCTCAGTTTGTTCCCTCCGCTGTGCGGAAAATTAGCCACTCAATATGCGGTGGTCTCTTTCCTCCCTCTTTCTGTTTGGCTTCTTGGCTGTTGTACATGCGCTCAGTAGTTCGGGCAACCGTCTGCTCGTTGTTTTGGAGGATGGATCGGAGAAGGATCTTTACTCTACTTTCTGGAGTGATTTAGAAGGTATGTATCTGCAGGGCAGAAATTATAATTGAGTGGAATTGGCGTTGTGCTGATATGTGCAATAGCTCGCGGATATGACCTCGTCTTCGAATCTCCCAAGAGTGACAAGCTCTCCCTCTTCGACCTTGGCGAGAGGGCTTACGACCACCTTCTTCTCCTGCCTCCTAGGTCCAAAGGTTAGCGGCGACTTTGGATTCGGACGTTATGCTACAGGGACATACAATTGACCGAGTGATCAGGATTTGGACCTTCTTTGAGCCCCAAGAACATCGTCGACTTCATGAACAAGGACGGTAACGTCCTCCTCGCGCTCTCGGGCAAGTCCACCACTCCCAGCGCCGTCAGCTCGCTGCTCCTGGAACTCGATCTTCATCTCGCTACCGACCGTTCGTCCGTCGTTGTCGACCACTTCAACTACGACACCCTGTCCGCGGCCGAAAAGCACGATGTCCTTCTCCTCCAGCGCCCCGGCCCATTGAGACCCGATACCAAGGCTTTCTTCGACGGAGAGGGTGTCCTTGCTTTGCCTAGGGCCGCTCCTCACACTCTTGGCGACCACGCGCTCATTGCGCCTATCCTGCGCGCTCCTGCGACTGCCTACAGCTACAACCCCAAGGAAGACCTGTCCGCGGAAGAGGATGTCTGGGCCACCGGCTCTCAGCTGGCTCTCGTCTCCGCCATGCAGACCCGTGCCTCCTCTCGCTTCACCCTGCTCGGCTCCGTTGAGAGTCTCCAGGACCAGTGGTTCTCCGCAACCGTCAAGGCGCCCAACGGAAAGGAGACCGGCACGGCCAACCAGGAGTTCGCCAAGCAGTTGACTGCCTGGACCTTCAAGGAGACCGGTGTCCTCAAGGTTGGCAAGATCGAGCACCACCTGGCTAAGGACGACCTTACTGCCGAGGACCTGAACCCCACCATCTACCGCATCAAGAACGAGACCGTATGTGCCTACTGACCAGTCCGCAACATAGCTGTCAACCCCTGCTGACGTGTCCCTATAGGTTTTCAGCATTGAGATCTCCGAGTACAGCCACGACCGGTACATCCCCTTCGAGGTGCCCGCCAACGATGCCCTGCAGCTCGAGTTCACCATGCTCTCCCCCTTCCACCGCCTGAAGCTGGAGCCCACCGCCCGCACCGAGAACAGCACCATCTACAGCACGCAGTTTACCGTCCCTGACCAGCACGGTATCTTCTCCTTCCGGGTCAACTACAAGCGCCCCTTCCTCACCAACATTGAGGAAAAGCACGAAGTGACTGTCCGCCACTTCGCTCACAACGAGTACCCCCGCAGCTGGAAGATCAGCGGAGGATGGGTCTGGATCGCCGGCCTGTGGTCTGTGATCGGCGGGTTCCTGGCCTTTGTGTTCGTGTGGCTCTACTCGGAGCCCGCCTCGGCCAAGGTCAAGAAGACCCAGTAAAGTAATGTATCATCTGAAAGATCAGTAAATGAAATCTGCTGCACAATGCACGTCTTGAAGAAAGGACGACCCGAATCGTAGAATGCCCAAGTCAGTCTGCGTACAGACAGACCCATCCATTGCATATGTACAATCTAGTAGTATAGCATGATAGTAAAAGTACGTACCCATAACCTGACAATCATACACACTATCAAGGCACGGGCACATGAGCGAAGTAGTCCCAACAGTCAATCAATCAACCAAACTCCAAGCCAAATGCCAGCGAATACAACAAAAGCACAGAGAACATGATGTTACAGCGCGCAAGGGAAAACCAGTCTGTGTCACCCACAACACCAGATATAACTAAACCTCCCCACCTCACAGACCACGAGTCTTCTCCGGATCCATCTGCACCTCATCACCACTAATCTCCTTGACCGTCTCAAATGCCGGCTTGCCTGCATATAATTGCTGGGACGTGCTGGAGCCGCCGCCTTCCGTCGTCGATACCGAGATAGGCTGGTTTCCGCGGAACCGCTTGCGCATGTCGATGAGGCCGCGCCTGAAGATGAGGCATATTGTCAACTGACTGTGGGAGGGAAAGCTTTGAAGGATGTATTTTGGTAATGACTCACTTGCACTCGCTAAACCCCTTCCGCAATTGCTGGCATCGCATGGGAAGTTCGTCGACGTACGGCTCACTCAGACATTCGCGGGGCGAGCGCCGTTGAACCATGATGCAGTCTGATTCTTGGAGACATTGCGCCAGAGCGTTTCCTATTTATTAAAGGTAAGAATGGTTAAAGTGGTGTGTGTACCGGGCATTATAGCTGAAGTTGGGAGAAGGGACGACAATTGTGGTAGTAATATCCGTTCGTGGATACGTTTCCGAACATCCAAGCCGCAATTTAAGAACATGGAGGAGAGATGAAAGGATCCGACATACTGATCTCTTGGCAGGAACTCGGCATGTTGGGCGAACAATAAAGGCAAGGCCCGAATTGCTCAGCCAAATAATAACAAGTTAGGAACAACACCGGTCTGCGGCGGCGGCGGAGACGGACAATCTGGAGATAATTTGCTGAAATCGGAAAACAAACTCAACCAAACGGGCGTTGCCCCGGATTAGGTAAGCCATCACATGAAGAAGAAGGGGCCCCCATGACGTCTGGGGGCGTGTGGAACCTGACTTAGGTTGCTTGCTCGTTCCGCTTGATTTATCCTATCCTTCTTCTTCCCATAGTCATGCGGTCTGAGTTTATGGAAGTATTGCTTCGGCGCATTATGGTTCATTACTACTACTGCTACTACCGGTGATAATTACTCTACGTGGTTGATTTGCAGACTGTCCCATCCCTGTGTGACATTAGGAGGTTTGGTCTTGTCGTCATGGCGCGCGTTCCGGTCATTGGACGGCTTTTTTGGTTTGAATATTTGGCACTTTTTGGGTCATTGATTCTGGTGTTGCTGGAATGGGTTATACATATTATCACGTTTTGTCTGCGTAAGTATTGTGTTCGTTCTTTGGGGTGGTAGTGTAAAGGGGTAAGGGCTAACTGGCGCAGCTGAACCTATCATTAGGTTCTGTTACGATCGATCCAAGAATATATTCAACGCTTTTATTCCCCCAGATGACCCGGCCAAACGCGGCAAGGAAGAGAAGGTGGCTGCGTCGGTTGCTCTGGCGTCGGACTTCACGGATATATGCGCGCTGTTTGGGTATGAGGCGGAGGAACATATCGTCCAGACGGGGGATGGCTATCTGCTTGGTCTGCACAGACTGCCCTATCGGAAAGGTGAGGAAGGAAGGAAAGTCAACCAGGGTGAAGGGAGCATCAGGAAGAAGGTCGTCTATCTCCACCATGGTCTCATGATGTGCAGTGAAGTCTGGGTCTGTCTGTCGG